GGAAGGTCGCTCCGAGCCGCCGCGTCCGGGGCTGCGCGGGGGCGGGGCGCCAGCAGCGCCGGGGCACGGTGGGCCGCGGCTCTGCGGAGCCCGCCTGGGGCTCCACCACCCCCGGCATGGTGGTCGCAGCCCGCTCATGTTGCCAGCCGGTGCTCCCCAGTGAGCACGCGGCGCACTCCCTCGCCCTCAGCGGCGATTTCTCCTCCTCCCCCAGCGCTGCCCCCTCGCCTGGGCGCAGTTCGGCCCCGTGCCAGCGCGGGGGAACGCCGGCGCCTGCCCTCCGCGCCTGCCTCTGTCAGTCACCTCCCCTGTGCGGAAGCCCCGCGGGGCCGGTGCGGCGCGACGGCGGGCGCCGGAGTCCTGGCGGCGCAGCTCGGAGGAGCTGAGCGCTTCCCGCCCCGCCGAGGCGCCGCGCCTGGAGAGGGCGCGGAGCTGCTCCGGTGCCCGGCGCTGCTGCCGCCGCCCGCCCCGCAGGGGGCGCTGCATCAACAGGAATGGGGGCGCGTGCCGTCCCAGCGGGCTCGCGGGGTCCCTGTGCCCTGAGGCCGCGCCGGTCACCGCGCTCCGGGCTCCGCCGTGTGAGGCCCGCGGCTCCGGCCTTTTCTGAAGGGACACCGAGACAGGGGTGCCCAGGCGGAAGGAGAAGCCCGATGACGTCCAGGGGATCTTGCCGAGTGTCCGTCAGCAAAGCTGTGGGCGACTGCTTTAGAAATTAATGAGTGCGATGCTGGCTGGGCAACAACATCTTACTGGCTGCTCCAGCAGCTGCTTAGAGCCCAGCCCAGATGCGCTGCCAGGGCTGGCGCTCAGGCCGGGAGCCCTCCGCCGCTTGCAGACAGCCCGGCCGTCCCTCCGCGGCCGGCACCGCCGGGCCGGCGCCCAGCGCGGCGCAGGTGCGCGGCCGGGAAAGCCGCGGGGAGCGGGGAGCGGAGCGCAGCGGGGATACCCGGCGCGAGGGGGGTTCTGGCAGCCCCTCCCAGCCCGGGATCTCGGGGAGAGCCTAGCAGTTGGCATTGTCTGATAATAGTACTGCTGTAATCTCGGGCTGTCGTGCCCATAAACAAAGCAAGGACTTCTAGGGAGAGGTAATATCTTTTATTAGATTAGACCAGCTGATGTAAAGGTCAAGTTTGCGGGCGCAGTTTCAGCCCTTCATGTCCCAGAATGTATTTTTTGAAGACAGATCTGTTGGGCTATTAAAGTTACTACTTCTCATACAGACCAATTTGCAGAGGCTCCAAAATAAACCATTGAATGTATGAGTAGCTGAGGAATTCAGGAGGTTTCTTGTTTATGGATTTTTTTTCCTTAAAGCCAATGATATGGATTTATGAGATAAAGCAATAAAAAAGTTCTTTTATTTTCCCCTTTTTTAAAAAAATTGTGTTAGACCCTGCATTTTGGCTGTTAATAAAAGTTAATATGTGTAATATGTGTAAGTGCTAATTATTTAGGGTATTAACACTGCAAGTTGTTACTAAGTCCTGTTTTTTTTTTTACATGACCAGGCATGAAAAATCATGCATGGATCACTAGTCGGTAAACATAAAAATATCAGGCCTTGTCATTCCAGCTATATTTGGAATTGCTTAAATTCATCTCTGTGTGTGGCCAAACTACAGTAAATCAGTGATACATTTGCCTTTAACCTGTTCAGGAAATAATACAGTTCCCTCAAAATCCTGTTGCATTTAAGCTACATCTTCAGCTGTGTCAGCTATAAAAAACCCCCATGACATACCTTTTCACATCTATATTTGTAACAAAATGGTAATCTAAAAATTCTGGGATCAATCCTGGAATTGATGTAGCTCCCAATCTGATTTGTATTTTCACACTAGTGTGAAAGGGAGGTTATTTTACATTAGAGAAAACAAGGTAGTTACTGTAGAAAAAAAAAAGTTGATAAGGGGGTATTTGTTCTTCATTCACTTAATTTTGGCAGACAGACATTTAATTTGTATACAGCTACAAGCACTCTTGGTTTGACAGAATTACAGATGGATCCCAGACATGGAATTTACCCTCTCTTTACACATAAGCCTTTCATGGGTTTGTGGTGCTCCTTTTGATCTGGCTTGGAACATGCAGTTCAGTGGTCCTAAACAATTACAGCTGCTGAAATATTTTATAAACTAGTGTTGGCCACTTTAACAGTGGCTTTGCAACTATAAATGGAAAAATCATTCATGAGTAGGATGCCAGTTTGATTTAGGATTCATTTTTCTGTGCAACAGTCCCTGAGCAGAAGTGAGTTTGTCAGGAATACGGAAGATCCCCGGAATTTTCTGCTTGCAGAACAGTACTACCTTCAGGCTACCTTTTAATGTCTGTATGGAACCCAGCTTAAAATTTGCTGTGGCACATCATCAGGTACTGCGCCAGTGACATTAATGGGCTCTAATATATACTTATAGCTGTTGTAGTGTTGGATGGTGTTGTGATACGGCACAAAATGATAACACAGACACTGCTGCTCTCGAGGGGAACAAAAAGGAAGAAGAAGAAAAACTTTATTTTCTGACTCCAACATTTATAGTTTTCCAAAGGTGACAGTGGATTGGAGGGTGACAGTGCCACCTCTCCAATGCCACTGGACAGACCAAGGGTCCATCAATTCTCTCCACCTCCATGAAAGAATGCAAAACATAGGTTATTTACAGAACTGTGTGTGAGAAAGTTTGTTGAAAGAATGCAAACATCAGAAGGCTTAACAAAGTCTTATAAAATCAGGGCGACAGGATGGGACTACCAAAATGCATCTGTTCTCATAATGTGACCATAAGGAATGCTGCTAAGAATGCTCTGGCAGTAAATGTCCATTAAACTTACAAGAATATTGGTACTTCTAGGTCACTCAGCCTCCTTATATGTCAGAGCTCCTAGCTCCCTTAATGACTCTTTGCTTTATTCTCTTTGGTCTCTCATTTGGCAAGAGAACAAACTGAACACTGTGCTCTAGATGTGGCTTCATCTGTGCTGAAGAGAGGGCAATAATCATGTCCCTTGACCTGCTGGCTGTGGCACTCCAAGATGTGGTCAGTGTTCATTACTGCAGGCGCACACTGCTGACTTTGTTGGTTTGTGGTCTGCTGGGCCTTCTCCTGTGGAACCGTTAGTTCCAGCCTGCACTCTCCCTAACTGTATCCTGTCCCAGATGTGGGATCTTGGCATTCTCATTTTTGAAAGTCCAATACAGATGTATGTGTTATACATTTATTCAGCTAGCTGAGGTCTGTTGGTATACCCTCCAGTATACCAACAGCCTCCCTTGATTTGGTGTCATCTTGTATTTCCAAAGGTCATGGATGAAAAAGTTAAATAATATCAGCCATTTTATTGATCCCAAGAAAAATCACCTGCTAGTTGGACTTGAAACAGTTATTAGCTACCTTTTGAGGCCCATGACCTGGCCAGTTTAATGCACCTATAGTATACCTATATCTTCCCAATCTGGCTGCTGATGCTGAAAAACTATCAAAGTTCTGGCTGCAGGCAAGGGGAGCAACACCTACTCTAATCTCACCCAGGGAAGCCTGTAATGTAGTTGTAGAATACAATAAATGACTAAACACAAGTTTGTCCTTGGGAAATTCGAGATGGCTGTTCTCAATCACATTTTTGTTGTTGTGGTAATGATTTCTATGAGCACTTGCTCTGTAATTGCCCCAGCAACTGAGAGAAGGTTGATCATCTTTTCACCACCCAGATCCTCCTTTTGCAATTTCCTAAGACAGATGTAACATTTTTCCAGTTGTTAGAAACCTCCTCTGATCACTGTGACCTTTCACAAGGGACTGAGAATACCCTTCCAATGATTTTTGCTGTCACTCTTAGTACTCTCAGATGTATGCTGTCCAATCCTACAGACATGTATGACATTTCTATCTTGTTTAATTACATCCTGACTTGATCCTTGCTACTTAACATGGAACTCTGGGATCCCTTAGAGCAGACCATGCCGATAGGTAAAATGAATACCCATGTGCTGTGTCACAAAGTCACCTGCTGTATTCAGCATCTGGCCTAGATTTTACTCAGTCTCCTGTTTTACTGCAGAAGTGTCCTTACCCATGACATCCTTCACCAATTTTAACTGCATGGAAGCATTGCCCCTCTAATTCCATCCCTGCATGCCCAGGAAATGCTCCTGTGCTCCTCCTACTCATTATGTCCTCACTTCCACCTTCAATATGCTTATTTTTTGTTGTTGAACTCAGTCATATATACCCTGTGCTGCTAAGGAAGGCTTCTGCTATATTTCCATTTGCTTGCAAATTAGGACGTTTAATAAATATGAATGACTTTGCCAGGTCTTATAGATTGTTAGGCCACTTCTTTCAGCAACTCCAGTGCTTTTCTTTTGACCAGTGCCTTGTGAAACCACAACCTCTCTTTATTTCTTTGCGTTTAAGAGCATGTTGTTGGAATTATGAATGGTTAGAGAATCGTAGAATTGTAGAATATGCTGAGCTGGAAGGATCATCATCTGGCCCTGTGCAGAGAACCCAAAGACTCACACCATGTGCCCAAGAGTGTTGTTCAAATGCTTCTTGAACTCCTTCAAGAAGTTTGACCGCTTCCCTGGGGAGCCTGTTCAGTGCTCAACCACCCTGTGGTTGAAAAGCCTTTTCTCATTTCCAGCCCAAACCTCCCCTGACTGATCTTCACCTTGTTTTCTTGAGTCCTGTAATGGGTCATAAGAGTAATGTGGCTGCTCCTTCTCTCCCCCTCATGAGGATGTTGTAGACTGCAGTCAGGTCTCTCCTAAGTCTCCTCCAGGCTGAAAAGAACAAGTGACCTCAGCTGCTCCTCATATGCCTTCCCCTTCAATGGAGGGCCATCCTCATGGCTCTCCTTTGGACAATCTCGAAGAGCTTTTTTTTTTTTTTTTTTTTTTTTTTTATGTTGTGGCCCCCAAAACTGCCCCCAGGACTTGAGGTAAGGCTGTCCCGGTGCAGAGCAGAGCACAGCAGAGCAGGACAATCCCCTCCTCACCCAGTCAATGATGCTGTGCCTGCTGCAGCCCAGGACATGACTGGCCCTTGTGGTTGCCAGGGCACTGCTGACTCATCATCAACAGAAAGAAATTGACAACTTCTTCAGTAACACACCATACATTTTCACATATGGCACATTCTTTTCCCTTTATAAATCAATATCCTGAGTGTATTCAGTCAAAGTTGACTCCTATCATTAGAGAGACCAGTATTGAGGTACTGTTAAAAGAAGGCTGAAAACTGAAAAGGCTTCCAAAGAGAATACAAAGGTTAGGACTGGTATCTTAAAACATGAAGCTCTACTAGTTCAATCTACTTTGTTTATTTGACCTCTTTCCACAACAGTCTAGAAATATCTACACTTTATTTTTTCCCCACCTGGTATTTGTTAGCTCTTTAAGTCTCACACAGAAAGAGTTTCCCAGGCTGAGAACTGAGAGAAAACAACAAACTCTAGAAGTAAAGGACAGGTGGGTTACAGAGCCTCACTGTGGATGTAGTTCTCCTGTAATTGAAGACCTGGTATTGAAGCTGGGTTTAAAGTAATGGAAGAAGATATGTTTGTGTGTATAAAGAACTTACAAATTTGATGCACAACTTGCATTAGATACCATTAAATTGTGTCAAGTGAAGTCAGACTGGAAAGTCTCTGGAGTATTAATATTTATGATTCAAAAAGTATGGCTCTGTACAGAACTGAGTTCTCAGGACCTCATCTTTTAGTGTTTTGCAGGTGGCACTTTGTATTCAGTAGAGAGATTGCACAATTTCAGCAGCTGTTTTTCTATTTCAAAAACTGTATTGAAGAACTAAAGTGGGATCAAGGAAAGGTAATGAGAATGACTGAGGATATGAAAAAAAACTCT